TTTCTTAAAGTCGGGTTTTCCGACTTGATTCGAGGCATATTATTTTCTTCAAATGCTGTAAATGCAGCTTTCAGCCTCTTCTCTGGATGCCGGTCGACCTCCGGATCTTTCATGCTACAAACATAAGGAAAGGCTTCTACAGTAAAATTCCGTTGAGACTCAGAAAGGGGCGTGCGATGGTTGAGGGGTGAGTTTTCTGGTGGGAATTATTTGGTATACTTTTCAGGACTTTTAAGATTTGAGGTTCCCATGGTGACGAGATACAAGACGGCTGTCTTCTTGGTTGTAATGCCATTTCAGAGTACTTCATATGGGCAGCAAGTACCTCTGAAATGTATGTTAACATCTACCAGACTACATGGTGCACCAACCCAGAAGCCAGCCATCTTCGAGACTTTTGCTCACGCTGATAACTAGTACTTGTATCAGGAAGTCAAACTTTTAAACAAACAAATACATAAATAGCCAGCCGCAGTCTGAGGCATGGACCTCGTGCGCCTGGCCGCTGGGACCGTGGGTTCGAGTCCCACTCAAGCCATGGATGTTTGTCCACGTCTTTCTGTGTTTGTATAGGTAGAGGTCTTGCGTCGGGCTGATCACTTATCCGAGAAGTCCTACCATTGTCCAAATAGATCAGTTGAATAAAATAAAAACCTCGACACCTACGGGTAAAAGAGAAAGAAAGATACATAAATAAATATTCAAGACGACAATACCAGTTTTCGCAAGTACCTTAGCACTGCTATTGCCTCTTCTATAGATCGTGCCTGTTCCCCTTCTACTTGCAGCCTGTTGATATTTTCCTCCAGAGGCTTCTCAATGTGAGTCACAGGCTCCTTCACCTTCGTAGTGCTCAGTCTTCGTTTTTCTGCCTCTGCCTAAAATTCCAGTAAAATTCAGAATTTGAAATGTCATTTACTACTTCACTGGTTAATGTATAGACACAAAAAGACCAAATAAGAAAAATGGGTAAAGAGATGTCAAATTATATTTCATATAGAATGATATTTCTACAGAGTAAAATAAGATAGAGATCTAGAAAATGCTGGAAAGATTTATTTTGTGTTGAACAATGAAAACTCTCTTATTTCACATCACCTGAATCTGAGCTTGTGTAATTTTAGCCAGTGGTTGTTTTCCAGTTGTTTGTATAGATTTCAGCTCTTCCTCAAGCAAAGCTTTTGACTCAGCCTTTTTCTCAAGAAGCTCTTGTTTTTTCTTAACTTGTGATTCCTAGAAAGAAATGTAGAAGATACTACCTATAGCTAAAATATTTATTATGTACCTGGAGGAAAAATAATAACAATAATAAAAACATAAATAAATACTCAAAAATGGTTAAAAGTGAACTAATTTATTTTGATGAAACAAAAAAAAGTCATACAATAAATGTCAACAAAACGTGAAAGCTGATTTGTTAAAATCTACTGCTGTTAAACACATAAGTCATTTCTATAACTTTTCTTTGGTGAAATTTACACCGAAAGGAAAGCTCTGGAAGTGTTTCGTCGCAACATGAAGACTTAGTTATGAAGGGAGCAGCAACATAACTGATTTGTGAATTTATATTTTGATAAATCAAACAGAAATTTTAGGATGTCTAATTTCCAGTCTGTATCACAAGACAGCAGAAACTACAAATTCATTATTAGATAATTCATGATTTATATCCATTAATGCATGTTCGTATTATATCAGATTTGTCAGATGCAACCCAAAGGTTTGCATCACTGCTGTTTTAACTGTTAACATGTAAAACACAGAATTTGTATGTTTATGATTTCCATATATAATTTCACATACCTAGTTCCAGCAAAGCTAAATACAGACCTTGTTCAGGAGCCACATTATTGTTTTATATTCCACAAAAAACTGTGTTAGCAGAAGCTGATTATTCTTTGAAACTCTGTAAAGCTTAAGGACCCTATATTAAGTGGTGGCAGTACTGTTTGTCGCATTAATAATACTGATGTCAGAAAATTGAAAAAAATTTATAAAGGTTGGGTGCCCCTGAGTAGCAATATGTTCATAAACACCAACTAAGTGGAACAAATGTTTGCACAAGATAATAGCATAAGCCATCTTTCCTTAAAAAATATGGAAGCATAAGTCTAAACCAGTGGTCCCCAACACGGTGCCCGCGGGCACCATAGCTTTTTCTGGGTGCCCGCGTTGTTACGGAAAGAGGGTATACTGAATAATGAAGGCCATTCAACCATGAACATTATAAAATCAAAGCGCAGATCTCGACTTACTGACGCCCATCTTGACGATTTTTTGCGAGCGGCAACATAATCCTACACTCCCAAATTTGAAAAACTGGCCGATGAAATGCAGTGCCAAACATCAAACTAACTTCCCACTTGAGTAATAATAATTGTACTTATAAAACTACGTATTTTTGATTGCATTGTTTCTTGTATCATTAAACGTTGTGTTGTTTTGTGTATTATTTGGTGTCCATATCTTATTTGTCGAGAGAAAAGAAAATTTGGCTTTGTTAATTGGTTGATGCCAGCTATGACCTCATAAACTCTCAAATGTGCCTGTAGGCACAAAAAGGTTGGGGACCACTGGTCTAAACATAAATCACAAAACTTGCATTGTAGTTGTGAAAAAATATTCATTACTGTAGTCACAAAACATTAATAACTGACAATTTATTGACCATTATTTATGAAATACCAAAAATTTCATCAGCTGACAGTGATATTAATTCCAGACTTCCATGCTTGCTGTGCTATAACATTCACATAGGAACCGTAAATTAAATATCATTCAACCATTGCACTGCCTTAAGAATTTGACCCTCTTATTCAAACATACTTTCCTCTGCTGTTTTCTGGTTGCATGCTTGTCATCATCTTGCCAGTACTGATCTTCAAGTTGCTGTTGCCGTCGAGTGTCTTCAAGTTCTTTAGCAGCTGTCTTACGGGCACGAGCTGCTGCTGATTTACTGTTCTCACCCACAAACTTCTTGGGCATGGCATAAACCTACGGAGGAAGCAAAGCCTGGAGAAATTCTACACACGCAATCATGCTGTGCCCTAGTATTCCATTTACATTTTTTGGAAAGTGTGTTTCTTGTGGAACAAATTACTTCTGGTATACTGCAGAAAGTTCAGGTTTTCAAAACTGATATAGTACTTACTTTCATGTAAGTACACATTCTGCAGGATGAGAATATTGGTAACCACGTGTCCCACCTACCTTAAAGGTATAATATATTGCCTACAAAGTTAATTTATGAAAGTAATGGAATAAAGAATACAAAAAAAAAAAAAAAAGGGGAAGAAACACTACTGGCTGTAGAAAATCAAGTCAACTGTTCTCACGAAAACAAAGGAATGTGTTTGAATGACTGCAATTTGCAGTGCAAGTTTTATGTGGCACATGGTCCAGAATATTACAAAATAATCAGACATCCAAGATATTGCTAACTTAACACAGAGAAGACTGCAGTTACTGACCCCTAATATATGGCACTTTCCAGTTTTCGCATCATGGATCAAATGTGTACCCCAAATTGAGTTTTAGCAGTCTACAATGATTCTAAGGAATAACTCTTATCATTTCATCCATTTAAGAATGCAGCTGAAAGTTCAAAGTGGGATACTTCTTGACATTTCATTTACCAAGCACAGTCTGACTTTAAGAAAACTAATTTCAATATAAGCTTAGTCTTTACTATGATACTATTGCCTCCATCATGAAATTTAAAAATTCCAGTTTAGATAAAAACAACCTTCTCCACTTCAGTCTGCCACTCTACTAATAAATAGTGATACATACACTTACAGATGGTAATAATTTCAAAACTATTATTAGAAGAAAGTTTTTGTGAGTCAGATGAATGTGGCACATGGTTTTGGCCCCAATCAAAGACAGTATACTGACTATGCTGTGGCTTGAAAAATCTGGGTTCTATTTCCAGCAGAAGCAAATACTTTTCTTTCTCCTTGTTCTATATCCTTGGCTTAGGCCTACAAAGGATTAATGGAATGTAAATAAATTCTATTCTATTCTGCAGTCATGTCCAGACTAGCTCTGCAGCACCCAATCTTCTGTGAAATGATTACTATGGTTTCACTCCCAAACTAAGGTGACTGAGGTGTGAAGCTCACCTCCAACCAGTGCTCCACTTCCCCATATATCATGGATGCATGGTGCTTAATTAAGTATGAAGCTCACCTCCAACCAGTGCTCCATTTCCCCATACATCATGGATGCATGGTGCTTAATTAAGTACAGGGACAAATTTACCTTTTGTGATAAATTTGCAACTGATGGCTACAACAGTGCCATATAAAAATTATGTGTTCATTTATAAAGTCTGTGTATGGCTGTGTTTTGGGTTGTAGCACCATAAAACACCGAGCTATAACCTAACCGCTGTGAAAATCTCAAATCCTACTATGAAGTCCATGTCCACAATTGAAAATCAATGTTATCTGTTATGGACTACAAGCAGAATCATCAAAGCTCACTTGGTAAAACTATAGAAGTGATAATACTTATGCTTTGCAACCATTCTATTGGATGGATCACCATAATATTTTGTTCAAAGATTGAAATAGGACATTACACTTGCATTAAATGGTCAGTTATAAAACTGACAAATTCCAACATCTGTCATTCAACACTGTGTTTTGCATGTCTAAGCACCATGCTTTCTACAATGTGCCACTTTATAGGGATGGTCAGCTATACAAAGCATCCACTTTAACCCATTGGGAAGTACCCAGTGGCTAGGAGACGTGCTCCGGAGCCATTCTAGATGAGGAGGCAAAGACAAAAACTCTGGGTGCTGCAAAGAACATCACCAATTAACCCGTAAGAAATAATGAAAAATGGCTTAAGTTTTGATTTAAAAAAATATGTTGATGGGAAGTGAGAAGCTCCATGTATTCTCAACACCTCATCACTAAATATGGGTGTTAATCTTCACATTCTGGCCACTGTAACCGTAGGATGAATACCCCTTGTAAGCAATGAATAAGAGCTGGCTGAGTGATCCCAAAAAGTGTTCTGAACACGGTGCTCAAATTCCGTATGGCTTAGGCCCGGAACTGTCTAACCTCTTTCCGAGTAACCACAAGTATTACTGTACTCCTACAATGAGGTTAAGTCACGATCAAACAATATTTTGGAACACTGTATACCAAGCTATTTACCAACCTCCCTCAGAAAATCAAGTGAAATGTCCTAGAAGTAACTACACATCACTCTCATACAACGGCATCAGTTATTAGAAGTCCACTTCTTGCCGTTCACGGCCTTCGACTTGAATCTAATAAGCCAGGGTTGTGTTATTCCAGAGAGTGTGATGGAGACATTAATTCAAACAGTAAATATTAATGCTGGTTTCTGTAATTCCCAAGATATGTCTCAGTAGACTTAGTGTCTGTAGCCAATTTTCCTCAGACGGAAAATAGTTATAACGAACAGCTCAATCTAATACGAAAGCCATGTTTTTATTTATTTGATACATGAAACAACACTTGTACATTTAAGTGCTCTACGTAACTTCTTCAGTTTTGGAGTTGTCCTTTTGAAATGTAGAAATCGTTGTGTTGATTTCCTGTACAGACTTTAACCTATTCTCTAGACTCCTTAAACTCAGAAGTCAAATTCCTTACATGCTATTCTTGATATCATGCCCAGGACCCTGAAATGCGTTCATATTCCAGGTTATAAATGGAAAAGCTTCCGGAATCGATCATTACCAATTTAAGTTCTATTCTGATATAATTGTTGAGAAATGTCCTCACTTCTCAATTCACCAAACTTTTGGAACTGCAGCTAAAGAAATATTAATTTCTGAAACCCCCTACCTGACTGTGGGTTTGTGGTCGTAAGTTGTTTTCTTACTGATTGAGCTACCGACGCTGAACTTAAAAGTTTTTTTCCAAACAATCAGCGATGGCAGAAAAGTCGGAGTAGATATGCATTTCCACCAATTGCACCTTAAATAGGGAGACGGCAACAAATTTTTGCGACATCTATTTGTATCTGTCTAGAGTTACTTGAACGAAGTTCACGCTACATACGATAGATGTACATGTACTTCTGTGTTTGCCATGTTTTCCATTCAACAACATGGCGTTGCGCATGAAAGTAGGATGTGATCTGTGTGAATGAGTAATAAGGAAAACGAGGGTGGTGCGTTGACTCATATAATTGAATTTTTTAAATTCATGTATCAAAATTAAAAGCAAAACAATGGTAAGTGCGATCATAAAAATAGTAGGCATAACCTTATTTGTATATGTACTGTCATGTCACTTATTTCTATAAATATATGTATGGTTTTGAATCTTTGTAGATGTTAAGATTAGTGTTGCAGGGTCGGGAATTTATACTTTATAACTGAAAGAATGAATCATTTACTGAATTAGTGTTATATTGAAGAAGTTTTTTTACTATTTTAGTCATATTTGCTACACTTTGTACTGTTTGCTGTGAATGTAAACATAAATTGTTAGTATAAGTAAATCTGAATTTAGTTTAGCAATAATGACCAAGTCATGTATTTCAGTGGTTAATTTAAATCTAAACTGCTTCATTTCTGTAGTTAACTTTGAACTAAAGTGCTATATTTTTTGTTATCTTGACCAGATAGGAACAAGAAGCAAGCATGGACAAGAATGTACTGAAATTGTATAAAATTTGAAGCTTTCATAGGATCTGAATGCATTAAAGTCTTCTCTGGTTATCAGTTATGTAAGTATGGAGGAACAGTTCAACATTTTGGAGATGTCTGTGTCTCCATTATCAGAGTAGATGTAGATATCTCCAAAACACTGGATTGCAACTCCATAGTTACAGTTGGTCACCAAAGAATACTTCATTTTATTATCCAATATTACTTCACTTTATTATTCAGTATTACAGTGTAGTGGTTAGTATTCCCACTTAATACCTGAGATACCCTTAGAGAGAATCTTTGTTGGTAAACTGGCTGTAAATATTGTCGTTCCTCACTTAACACTGTGATGCATGTAGTTGATACTAGAGGTGGAAACTTTGCTAAGGATTTGCATGTTATGTGAAGTTAATGGAGTTATAAAGGAAACGTTTGCTTTATGAGAAATAGCAAAATATTAATTTAATACTGTAGTATGTAGACTAAAAGAATATTCATTGTTTTATTGTAGTATATCTATTTCACATTTTGTTGATTAATGAATTATTAATTTAATTATTTATTTATCTATAAATATGGTGATGAGAACAAAATGTCATAGAATTATGAGAAAATAGCATGTTTTTTGGGTATGGTATATGTGTTCTGTATGTTGTATAAAATTTGTAGGTCGTTGCTGTTTTGCACTGCATTTGTCAAGGCTTTATATGAAATGTGGGAAGCATTTGCATATTAAGGTCTCATTGACAGACTGCGAGAAGAAAATATTTTTCTTAATAATATTACCGATGTTTTATTTAGAGTTTGTAGTGTACAGAAGTATAAGGTCCCAGGTTGTATGTGGGCTTTTAATATCCAAAATTAATGCTTTTTCCTTTTTAGTTGTAACTTTTATGTACAGCATATACATGTTAATTCCTGCTTGTGCTTATTTTTGTCAAAAATATGATGGTATTCAGCTAACCTACTAAGAATGGTTTCAACTAATTCATTACTGGTTGTTGAAACATTCATCCTGACATAACAACATTTATGTATCCTTCTACAAATTATTTTAACTTTTCTATTTTTTTCAGATATTTTACAAAAAAAGTGATGCTGTTTTTCGGTGTACTACAAACAGTTTGAATTGATTGTTTTGGTGTCATGCAGTGTTAATAAACTTTCTTGCTACAGGTGTACCATTGGCAGTCGCATAATGTCAAACTCTCAGGAGTGGATGACATGGTTCTCCTACCCAAAATTACTGAAGATGCAATTGTGGAGAACCTGAAGAGGCGGTACATGGATGACTATATATTTGTATCCTTGCTTATTAAGTTGTAGTTGTGCACAGAATATGACCTTAAGTATTTAGTATGCAATGAGGAGCTTTCAACTTTATTATTTTACGTTAATAGTGTTATGATAATTAAATATGTTATGGTTGGGGCATGCAGAAAACATGGAAGAATCAGGAATTGCGTTAAAATACTGACTGGAAAACCTTAGGGTTTGAGAAATCTAGGTGGTATTATTAAAGAGAGATACATTTTGAAATTGTGAACTGGACTGAGTTGGCTAGGATAAGATTCTGTAGTAACATTTGTGAACACTGTGCTGGAGCTTCCATTATGTAACATTGTTAACTGCTGAATGATATTTGGCAAGAGCCTGTGGGAAGTTACTGCAGTCTTACCAGCACTTGGCATTCATAGAAAAGCAACCTAACAGAATATTTTGAGACAGAGAGATATTAAGTTTGTATCCTCATAGTTGAACAAGTATAAAAACACAACACTTTTTGACTACATTTGAAATTACTAGTTGAAATCTTATTTCATCAGATATTGCTAATTTTTTTTACATAAAAATTATTGTACATCTCCAAGATTGTACTGTGTGCCATTTCTGTTGTCCAGGTATACCACATGTTTAACTGCAAGTGTGTGTTAATGCATAAAGTATGATTTTTGTGAGAGTTTGTGATAATTTGAGGTTAAATATGAACAAAAGTTGAGTTGGAATGTGAAACTATGATCTTCCATTGTAATAAAGTACAGAAACTTAATTTGGGAAGGTCAGCTGTTACTTTCTGGTTAATTTAATGATATTCAGCTTTGCCTAAAATGTTGTATATGTGTTTCTTAACTTGGCTCAGACATGCATAGGCCCAGTTCTTGTTTCAATAAATCCTTTCAAACAGATGCCTTACTTTGGGGAGAAAGAAGTGGAAATCTATCAAGGAGCTGTATGTATTTTCTTACATTTAATGACTTTAATAGAAGAAAAAGTAAAATTCTCTGAATCAAGCAAGTACAGTTTCAAAAATTTACAGTTTTGAAAGGAATCAAGTGAGTAACAAGTAAATGCTGGTGAGTACAAAAATTCAAGGCATATATTGCTATAGAACTCTTTTCTGAAAACCTGAAGTTCTTACATGAGATTAAATTAAATCACATGAATAAACATATATGGCATAATTTTTTAATAATTTTCACAAGATTTGTCCACATAGTAGTCATTTGATAACCGATACTGGAGAATTTTAGCATTAGTATATGGTATTTTTAAATTTGCAGAAATCAATTTGAATTTGGAAAATGGCTCAGAGTTATTGACCCAGCAGTGCTATGCAGGCAGGACTATGCACATTCATTTTTGCTTTGTACCATCATGAATTTTACTTTAGGTTGTACACTGTATTTTTTTTAAAGTACTGTGGTTGCAGGAAACATTTGGTGAATGTTTTAATATTTTGGAGGATTTTAATTTGATGATGTATAAAGATAATATTTGTGTATTGTAATAAATAGCAAAATTTAATAAGAAGATTTCTGTCTTCTGGGTTGTTGCGCTGTGTAGT